AAAAAAAAAAAAAACATATATAGATATAGATAGATATAGATATAGATTAGATATAGATATAGATATATAGTCTACAGATCTGCAATTCTGTCTGCTACAGGTTGTAGTGGTTCCCATCCCTCCTGGAGTGCAAGAGTTCAATTCTTTTTGCATGTGCAAGCTGCTTTTCCTAATCTAAATCCATTCTTAGGACTGCTTGTAAATTCTCCTTGTTCCCTCATTTACAATGAGCTAAATAAAATCTTTGGAACATGCTCATTTTCTATCTGTATGACAGCCATGAATTTATTGTCTTTTGAAAGGCGTCTTTTAATATTGCTGCTACTTCTTTACCAAAGCAGTGGATTTCTGTGGAGGGCAGACACCTTGACTGAATCTCCCTCTCAGGGTCAGATGGAGTTGGACAGCATTAGCGTTAATATCTTGTCCTTGGGTAGACAGAAAAGCTCCCTAGGAGTCCGGCTTCAGGTCCTGTGCCAACAACCTGTGGTGACAAAAGGAAAGCACTTCTCTCAGAGAAATGGGCTCATAAGGACCCTCTGGACCCCCGGGGCAGCCTCCTAGGGCTACATGTCTTCCCCAAATCCCCTCCTGTGCAAGAACACCCTTCCTTCTGGTGGTGGCGCCCTGGCTGGAACCTAGAGATTAGTTCTTTGGGGTCTCTGAGATCCGCGAGGTGCTGCGGGTCCTCTGGAGGGGAAGTGTGTTTTGGAGCCAGAAAGCCCCAAGCCGCTCAGGAATTTTGGCTCACACTTGGAGCATTTCCTCCTGGGCCGGCCCTGCGCTATCCTGGGGAGGGCGTCCGCCAGCAAACAGGGCGCTGAGATTTGCCAGGCCAGCACCGTGGGGCTCCTGTTCTGCGCCCAGGCTGGGCTTGCCCTGCTCCGCGCCACGGGCGCCTTGGCGGGTGGGTGGGACTGGGGGCGCGGGCAGGGTACCCAGGGAGACCTGGGATGGCAAGATAGGAATGAGAGGGGGAGAGAGGGAGAGAGGGAGAGAGGGAGAGAGGGAGAGGGAGAGGGAGAGGGAGAGGGGGAGAGAGGGAGAGAAGGGTGGAGAAATGAGAGGGGGAGCCTAAAAAGAGAGAAGGAAAGGCTGAGACAGAATGAGGCTTTGGAGATTCAGAAAAGCGATTTCGTCCATCAGGCTGTGGATATGCTTTTGGAGCTCAGTGGGGGCAGCGCCGCCTCCTCTGCGCCTTCTGCTCCTCCATCAGGCAGCCCTTGGCGTCCTCCCGCCTCAGCACCTCCTCTTCTTAGCGTGCTTGCAGGTTGTGCAGGGTCTTCTCCAGCCCTTTCGCGCTCTCCCTGGAGCGCCTGCTTCTCCTCGGTAGCGTCCCCCCGCCAGGCGCAGGTGGCTAATCTCCTGTTCCTACAGCGCCTGGAAGCTGGATGGCTCCGAATGTTTCTGGCACAGCACCAGCAGCTCGGCTTCCAGCAGCTTGTTCTGCTGCTCCAGCTCTTGCACGCCCTCGAAGAAGCTGGCAAAGCGGTCTTTGATGTTCTGGAGCTGCACCTTCTCCCTCCTGAGTGCGGATGGACTTGAGGTCGTTGCTAATGGCTGCTACCTGGCTCAGGTCTAGGTTCTCCAGGCTGTGCATCAAGGAGCCAGAAATGGATGAGTAGCTGCGGCGCACGGAGAGCCAGGAGGACACAGGGGCCAAGTAGTTGGAGTAAGTGGAGCGCGCGGTGCTGTAGCCACTGCATATGCTGGAGATGTGCACCCAGGGAGACTCCACATAGCGCTGCTTGAAGAAGGTCTAGGCTCATAGCTAAAGGAACTCATGGCTGGCAGCTGGGCCAGTGGCGGAGATGGGGACCTGGAGAGGAGGAAGGACAGGGGAGAAAGGGAAAGGGAAGGATGGATGGCTGTGTGCCTATTATTATTATTATTATTATTATTATTATTATTATTATTATTATCATTTTAAAATTTTTATTTATTTATTTATTTTCTACTTAAGAGATTGCCATAGTTGGACTTGAGAGTCCCCCAAGAATTGTTCAAGAATTGTTCCCCTGGGTGGTGCTCTTGGGAAATGATGAATGTTCAGAGGTGGGGCCTAGGGGAAAGCCGTTGGGTCATTGGGGGTGTGCTCTCAGAGGCAAGTGGTTTTGGGTTTTATTTTATTCATTTATTTATATGCGGTACTGAGAATCCAAGTAGTGCCTCTTGCACACATGCTAGGCAAGTGCTACCACTGATCCACAACCCAGGACTAAAGTGCGTGGTTTTGTTTCAATACATGCTGTCACCATGAAGTACAACCTTTCTCCTGGCCCAAATAGGTTTGCCATGGTTTCTTTTACGAGGGCAAAATGTTCTTTGCATATCTTCATTGGACCTGACTGGCCAGGCTATGTCTTTCAAGAATAGTAGACTTTAGAGTTTGGAATTTAAGTTTGTCTTGTGACTTTCATCAACCAATAAAATATAAGTAGATTGTAATGTGTGTAATAATGAGAAAGATTTATCATCTATTGGGCAATTTATTCTTTTTAAATTTATGAATAACCATTTTATTGCATTTATGAATTAAATGTAATGTTTGGAGTTATTTATTACCATGGAACTATTTAGACAAAAATGACCAATCTACAAAACTTTTGTTGTATTTTAAAACTGTATCATACAATTGAGTCTTTGAAAATGTTTATTAAATTTCTAGATATACATTTATTATGATTTCATCTAAGAATCCTTTTGTCAATTGAAATATACTTTTTGTAAAACTTAAAGGAAAACCCATTTCCTTATTGCAATGTTTCAAGAGGCTTGTTCTCTTATCAGGCTCAAAAATGAAGAGGTAGAACGCAAGATCCACACGACATTCAGGATCATGGAAAGACATTTGCTCTGGTGCTTACATCATGTGCAGAAACTGATTTAGGGTTGTGAAATAAAACATGGGGAAAGCCATTGGTTTTGCCTAGGCTTTGAAATAGAATAAACAGACCAAATCAGCATGGAGTCCCATCTCAGCAGCTGAGTGCTATGGATCTCAAATGGCCCTAAAAGCCATGGGCTGCAGGTTGGGTTGCCAGGCTGTGTTACCATGGAGAGGTGGGAGAAACCTCAGGAGGCAACTTCAGGTAGAAACACATTGGAGAGCATTAGTTCTTTGGGATTATGTGCTTAAAGGGAATGTTGGGGTCCTGACCTTTCTTCTCTGGTCTCTTTTTGCCTCCTGGCTACCATGATGTGAGAAGTTTTATTCAACCACTTGCTCACCATGATGTTCAGCTTTACCACGGAGCCAAAGGGATGAGACCCAGGGATCATGGACTGAAACCTCTGAAACTCCTTTGAAGTTGGTTAAGTCAAGTATTTTGTCACAGCAATGGGAAGTTAACACTGAGTTTCAGTTCATGTGGAAACTTTAAAATCACTTCAGCTGTAAACAATTGTCTTTTTACCTCATTTCTGTTTTCTATAAATGCTGGCTAATTATGTTATTGTCCACTGTTCTTAGATTCTGTTCTGATTCTGAAGGCTACCTGATTTACAAATCATTTTTGTTAGTTTTTTAAATAAACTCATTTTTAATTAATCTCATCTAAGATGTTCTTCCACCTCATTCAGGCATCCATTTAGGGAAAGGGCATTGTCACTTCTTTCATACCAAATCATTCATTGGAATTTTACTTGATGGGGAAAAGAAGGGCAGGGACTCACATTCCACAAGTCAACATAAGGAACTAGAGTGTTCCTGCATGCACACTAAAAGAAGGGTGTTAGCCTCTGCTCGGTAGGCGGGCTTCACTAAACCCAAGTCAGAGCCATGATGCAGCACCTGGGTCTTTTCTGCAAGTCAATCTTTGAGAGCAACCCATCACTTTCAACAAAATTTGGACAACAGACTGCAAGGTCAACCTCAAATTATTTGTGAACCAAAAACAATTCGATGATGCTCAGTCACAATCATGGGACATCATGGCACTCTGCAACAGGCAGGCCATTTTGGTTTAATATATCCAGCTTACTTTGCCATTTTTACAGGGGTAACACATCCTTCACTTCATTTTTCTTTCAAGTACTGTCTATTGAGAGCAGATGTGTTCTTTTACAGCTGAGTCCATCTTCCATGAAGAAAGACAAAATTCCATGGATGTCAGTGTGGTCCTGAGGGCAGCCCAATCCACCATTCAAGTATTTATTTATAGATGAATGGATGAAGAAGATAGGTGATAGATGGATAGATGAATTTCTCATGTGTCTAAGTAAATTAATAACCTTTTGGAAAAACTTTATATTTTATTGTTGTTCTCTTTCTATGTATCTGATTAGGCTTTATAGAACTCAGTTTGATGACTTTTTAACAATTGCATATTGGACATGGAAATGGGCAGATTCCTCATGAGACATTTGTTATGGCATAGCTCAGAAATGTAAACCTGGCTTTTCCTATGACTGCATTTGAACCACTTTTGTCAAGACCCACCAACCATGAAGTGAAGGAAGAGGAAAAAGCTACATGCCTCTGGGCACATTGGTGCTTGAATGTAATCCCAGCAGCTCAGGAGAATGTGGCAGTAGAATCACCAAGGACAAAGCCTACTTCAGCAATTTAGAAAGACCTTAAGGTGAAAAAAAAAAAAACAGTAAACACAATCTGTTGGTGTTGTGGCTCAATGTTTAAGAACCCAATTTTCCAAAAATACATATATTAAGTAGTTCAAAATCTACTTGGTGCAAGTGTAAATTGATGGGAATACCAGTGAAATTCCATGTGGGAGTTTGTTTTGAACACATCCTATCTGAGCCAAATGATGACACAATTTTTAAAAGACTAAATCCTTTATTCACCTGAGAATTCTGCATCTACCTGGCTTCCTCTTGGACAGGAGAGGTTTTAGAAAGGATCCTGCATCTCTGGAGCACACATACTTTTAAGTAGATGTCATAGTGACTAGGAATGGCCAAGTCCCCTTGTCAGCCACCCCATGTATCATGCTTGCCTGTTCCTAATGCTTCCCTGTCCCTGGGGATCTTGGTGCACTGCTGGAGCTGGTCAGAGCCCTTCAGATACACCTGGCAATGTAAGTATCATTGTTTGTGACCAGAAACAAACTTCTTCCTCTGCGTCTGTGAGAAATTTCAACTGCCCTACTGGGAATTCAGTCCCACCTCCTGCCAGAAACCATGCTCTGACATTGCTCTGCAGTGTAGGAAATTCCACATAAGATCTGGCAACTGAAGCCTGATTGTGCTTGCTCTGCTAAATCCCCAGGGCTCCAGAGAGTGAATGGTGCCAGTTTCTTCCTGCTAAGGCTTTGTCCTTGCTTTAATAGGAGATCACCAGACAGTGCCTTGTCCAAAGGGAACAGGACAGAACTTGACTGGCAAGAACTGCAACTTGTTTCTTGCACTCCAGCTCCTCAGTTCTCAGGAACAAGAGCTGGCAGGAAAGCCCTCATGGAGTCACTGAGGAAACCCTCATTGTTTGCTGATGACTTTGCAGAGGCCGTAAACACCTAGACACCAACTCACAACATGTGCTGACCACCAACATGTTCCAGCTTGGACACCTAAGACTGAGTCCAGAGCCACCTCCTGGGAGTCACAGATGCCTTTTAAAAAAAACCCCACCCAGCCTCAGAGACACCCCCTGATGGAAATGAGCCCTGAGACTTGAACTGCCCCCACCTGGACAGACCTCAGAGCCTGTCATTGAAGCAGGCCTGCAAAATCAACCAGGGCAATAGAATATACACACTGCCAACATATAACATGGGAATAACACTCAGCTACACTTGCTCTAGCCATGAAATTTACCAGCATATTTGAAACAACTTTATGATAATAAATTCTCCATCTTTCACAAATATATTCTTGGGAAAATTCAACTTCCCAAAAATAATTCAGGGAAAACCAGTTGGAATCATTAAAAAATACAGAATCAGTAGAAAAATCTTCCTATAATGGAAAGATCAGACTCAGTAACTGGAAAATCCAATTTCCTAAAGGAATACATGTAAATTTGCACAAAATTTTAGAGAATAGTTAAAGAGGTTACACACCTGATAGATACTAAGGCTTGAAAATAGTTCTGGCAAAAACCTGGATATGAGGGCTGGGATTGTAGCACAGTAGTAGAGCTCTTGCCTACCATGTGTGAGACACCAGGTTCGGTTCTCAGCACCACAAAAATAAATAATAAATAAAGATTTATCAGCAGCTAAAAACAATAAAAAGCTGAGTAAGAGGTAATTCCTGAAAATAGGTGCAAAATTTTTAATTGAAATATTAGGGAACTTAATGTATCCATACATAAATAGGATGTTTCATAATCTCTTTTGGTTTCTCAATGAACACTATGTTCTTAAGGAAAAAAAATATGCAGATCAATATATGACTAGAATATATTCTTGCAGTCAATGAAAACAGCATTTCAAAATTCAAAATACAAAGACAGTGAAGGCATAAAGAAATTCTATTAAAGGCTGGGTTCTGGCTCAGTGGTAGAGTGCTGGCCTAGCATGTGTGAGGCATTGGGTTGGAACCTTAGAACCACTTTAAAAAAATAGTAAAAAAAAAAAAAAAAAGAAAGAAAGAAAACTTGGTTAATATTTTTTTCATAATATTGCAGAAAAAATAATTTCCTCCATTTCCAAATGCAACTTTCTCTATTTACTGTATACAAATCTGGTTCATGTTTTTGTGTTTTCACTAGGTGACTGCACATGTGTGTATCCATGAACAATTACCATTTCACCCCTTTTCACTTTCACAATTATCACAGTACAAACTGATTTTTAAACTTGATATTTCACTAGACAATGTATCTTACAACACTCTCAAAATAAAGTATGTCTTCAATTATTTTTAACTGTGCTATACTAATAGCTCAGATTTTAAATGTCTCTTAAAGCTGCATGTGGTAAAGGTTTAGTCCCCAGTGGTGACACTGGGACATAATGGAACATTTAAGAGGTGGAGCCTAGTGGAATATCTTTAGGTCTTTGTAGGAAGGCCCACAAGGGAATTGTGGGGCCCTGGCCCCTTCCTCTCTCTCCCTATAACTTCCTTTTCTTGTGGTTGACAGTTTTATACTACCATGATGTGCCGTCTCCCCACAGGCACAAAGCAATGGGGCCAACTAACCAGAGACTGAAACCTCCAAAACAATGAGCCTATCCTGGCAAGGTACACAAGACCTATAATTCCAGCAACTTGAGTCAGGAGGGTCCCAAGCTCAAGGCCAGCCTCAGCAACTTACTGAGATCATGCTTTTAAAAATCGATGGCTGGTAAATAGCCTAGTGGAGAGGACACCTGGATTCAATCCACAGACCACAAGGAAAAAAAAAAGGTCAAAATAAGCCTCATCACTGGTATTAGATATAGTGGTGGGAAACTGACTAAAATAACTAACTTGATTATTTCATGTGAGCCCACTTATCTAGGGGTTTAGTGTTCTGTAAAAAAGCATAGCATTTTTTTTCCTGCGGAAACATCTAGAAACAGAATTGCAAGGCATCTTCTGCAACATCAATATAATTTCCAAGTGACCATACAAAGTGATTGATTGTGCAAATAATACATATCCCTGGTTGAAGTATTGCTATTTCCCCACCTGTTTCCAGCATCATTATATAAAGGAAGATATTTATAAAATGAAGATGGGTACATTACATGTTTTGGAAATTCATACAAAACATGCTTTATTGTGTCATTTAATATTATTTTATAATTTCACACTTATATATGAGAAGCATGACAAACATAGGACATGAGATTCTTCACAATGGTCTGAAGAGTGTGGGCAAAGGGCAATGACCACAAATGCAAGCTTTCTTCACTACTGGTGTTGCTTAATGATCATAATCGGTATACACTGTTTTGTAATTAAATATTATGACAGCAAAATGGGAAGAGCTGAGAAAGAGTTGTTTAGCCTTGGTCTACTTGTACACAAAATATCCCAGGAGTCAACTGGGGATTCAGGAAGAGCACCTTCACTCCTCCAGCGGCACTTTGTGAATGGTGCCCCCTAGTGGTTTGAGGGATGTAGCCTGAAGAGCTGTGTTGGCAGGAGATGGGGAGACAGGAAACTCTCTGGATGACTTCATGGTGCTTGGTATCCTAAAGCTCAAAATTATGAAAATGATTTCAAAATGGGAAGTTCAAGATACTGCCTTCTTCAAAGTTTTTCTCAAAAACTCAGATAAATAGTATCTGAATGTTCACCTATACATGCTCAGATATCATTGACAGGCTCTGGCAGAGAACTGAGTTTCATTTTTGGAGGAAACGTGCACTTCATCAGAGAACATGAGGCCTCCCCATTTTTTTGGCAACCTGCACCCTACTATTGTAGAAAAAAGGGCATCTTCTTCCCTAAGTCCCCATGCTTCTGGGAAATTAGAAGTGGGTCCTGAAATGGCAGCTTCTCTTGGTATTTCTGGGGCTGTTGCAGCTGTGGATTATAATGAACCCTGTCACTCTGCTGCTTTCCTTCACATAGCCAGTACTGACCAGAGAGCTCTTGGTTCTGTTGATACTGTGTCTTTCCCTGCACCCTATCAACATAGGACAAAGGCAAGGGACTTCTCC